AACAATAATTTTTTTTTGTTACTTTAGTTATGATAAGAAAACTATTTTACTAAAGACTTTAATAAACACTTTTGTTGCAAATACCACACTATTAGTAAATAACTATTGAAAATTGTTCAAAGTATTTTAAATATTTATTAACTATATTTTAGTAAATTCAATTTTAGTAGTTATTAATGTTTTAAATAAGTAGTAATTAAATGTTTAAATACTTTCAACAATTTTTAATCAATATTTAGATTACATAATATATTTACATATATTGAATTGTGCAATATTTGTAAAATCAGCAAAATAGTTTTACGTCTTGTATTTGAATAACTAACTATTCAAATAAAAAACATAAGCATTTAATAGACTATTTATATTTTAATTACTATTACTTTAATTTTAAAATTTTGATTTAAATATTAACAAAAACTGCTCATTTAACTTTTACTAAAGGGTAATAATTTTTAAAGTGATATTTAGGCGCATTTTAAATTAAAGATATTTTAAGGAAGAAATAACGGTAAACATAATTTTAAAAATATTATATTTTTGTGATTAAAAATTATCGGCAACAAAATTCATTAAATCAAAGCAAAAAAAAAAGTATTTTTATCGAGACACTATCTCTAGCCTTTACTCAACCAAGAGCCCCAAAGCAGAGGGTGTTTTATGTCGGAGTTTACATCTCCTAGCCATTGCCTAAAAAGGCATATTCTACAAGGCAGCAAGACATAAATCAGATTGTACTGGGTTACATGTTACCAGTAGCAGGATAAACCTGACCTGACTGAACTTTCTACAAGAATTTTTGCATTCTGGTAATTTGAGTTAATTCGCCACTCGATCACAACTCTAAAAAAAACAAAAATAAAAACAGTACACAATTTATTTAAATTATTAATTAGTTTTTATTTTTTTCTATTTCAATCTCTTTTTATTTTGTTAGTTATGTTTTTTTTTGTTTTTGAAACTTTTTCAGCATTTTCAAACTTGCAAACGGCAGTGTTCACATTTTCTAAAATAGTGTAATCGCGTGTGATCATACAAGAAAAAAAACTGCACACCTTTCCTGGGAAGGCTTGATTATTACGTAAAAGTAATTTCTTTTTAATTCATTTTATTGACCTGAGGAATAATTGAAGTAGCTCAAATAAATTAAAAATTACTTATATACTACTGCATTTAAAACTGAATTTTTTTTTCATTTTTTTAATAAAAAGTTAAAATAAAAATTAAAAAATAAAAATAATTTTTGGGCATTTTTTTTTTTGGGCGCTCCAGCAGTACTAAAACAGATCTGGGTTTGTCCCAATATATCTTTGATATATATCTTTGTGTTTGTTAATAAAAAAGATCCTTATAAATAAAGATTTTTATAAACGTTCATCCAAAGATTAAGAATATAGTAAAATTATATAAAGATGTTTAATTTTTTTACAGTTAAACATGGTGTATCATAAAAAAGGAAAAACCTAAAGACAACTTAAAGGTAAAGTTTATTAAAATGCGAGCAGCTATTAATGCAGTTCTTAATGGTGATGCAGTTTATCGTGTATCTAAGGAGAGGTGAATAAATTTAATGACACTTTACAGATATGTAAGGAAATGTCAATTAAATCCAAATACAGGCTGCAAACCTAACTTCATTACCATGCAAATCTTTACCAGCGAAGAAGAAACATCTTTATCAGACTATTTTTTTAGGGCTTCAAAACTTCATTATGGATTGTCAACCAAAACAACACAAAAACTTGCCTATGAATTTACAATTACTTTTTCTAAGCGCTTTCCTAAATCATGGAAAAGTTCACATATTGCTGGGAAACAGTGGCTTTGTGGTTTTATGTTACATAGGAATGAGTTGTTTTAAACCCAAAAATAATATGGCATGAGCAACTGCTTTTAATCGTTATACAGCTAGTAAATTTTTCTTTAATCTAAAATATTTACATATGCGACACAAGTTTTAGCCACAAAACATTTATATTGTTGATGAGTCAGCTCTCACAACTGTTAAAAAACAGTTAAAGTAATTGCTGGTAAAGGAAAGTAAATTGCTGGTAAAAATGAACTAAATAAGCTTCAGGTAATAAAAAAAATCTCAATCAAAAAAGAAAAAACATAATGAAATGCAAAATAAGATCTTCGTGATAAGAAAAAGAAAACTTCATCTTGAATGTGATTAAAAAATAAATAAATATTTCAAACAGCAATAACAGTGACAGTACATTAGAATCACAACACTTAAAATAGATGTCTTGTAGTTCTATTTCAGAAAATAATAAAGAAGTATTTTCATACTTTAACATCTTGGGAAATGTTGAGCCTCCGTAAAAGATAAGTATACGTGCATAGGATTAAGGGTGTGTATAGGTAAAATCAAGGAAGCTACTGGTATGCACCCTTGATCCCAATCAAGTGTTTTTAGTTTTTATAATTTAAAAGCTATTTAAGATATTCTGGTAAAAAAATGATTATTAAATTACATGAAGGTATAAGAATTGTACTGTTACTTTAGAGATCGAAATTAAAACATATATTCAGTAAATTAGCCTGATAGATTTTTAAGATCAATGTGTGCTTAATCTTCCCTTCAATAAACAGGGTTGCCCCAAATCAGGGAATACAGGGAAAGTCTGGGAAATTTAGGTATAATCAGGAAAAATCAGGAAAAAAAGATTGATTTAGTTAAAAGTCAAGGAAAATTAAAATTTTTTTTTTTTTTTTAAAGTAAATCATTTAGCTCAAAAATGTTGTTCAAATATATTTATATTTGATCATTATAAAAAAAATTAAAAAAACATTTTATATAGATTTGAGTGGAACTCTTAATATTATTAGTTTAATAAATTCATTAGGTGCTTTTTTGTGTAGAAACAGCTGCAACATGTGAAGATTTTCAGAGTTTTTTTAAACCATATTGTATTTTTATACTCTTTTTTTATCATTTATAAATGTTAAAAATTTAAAATAGAAATTTATTTCAATGAAAAATGTTTGAGTAATTGATTGTTAAAAAAATGGCTAGTAAATGGCACAGATAAAAAATCAGTCAAGTGAAAAATATGCCAAGTTTTATTTAACTTATCAAATATAGATCAGAGACCTGTGAATAGTCACATGAAGGGAAAACAGCAAGTTCAGAAGTCGAAACCAGCCTCATGCTACTTTAAACCTGCACAGTCTACACTTAGAAAGCAAGCGTTTATTTTAATAGATCAATCTGATAAAACTTGTGTAGAAATTTATTTTGTTTTGCATGTAGTACAAAACAATTTTTCAAGCTTTGTCATTTTTTGAATTTGTGTAATGAGAATGGTCTACTATATTAAAAAATGTTCCCTGATAGTACAACTGTTAAGTCCTATGAGATGGGTAGAAAAAAAACTTGGTTAATTATTTTGGTCTTGAATTGTTTGCACATACTTTTAAAAGAAAATATCAAGAAATCTCCTTTTTATAATTTTTCCTTTGAATGAATTCTTTTCAAAATTGTCAAATGAATCAAAGTATTTGTTTTTGAATATAAATGTTGAATACAAACGCCCCTTGAAAAAATTTACTTAAAAGTATGACTCTATCTTTGGTAACAATTAAGTGCATAAATTAAAGTTAAATTAAATGACAATTGGATTTGCTGTAGAATGTAACATTAAGGAATTAAAGGAAAAAAGGTGTGTTATCTCAAGATGTGATTAATAGATTTATGAAAGATAGTCAGCTTATTCGAAATCTTGAAAATTTTTTGAAACAATTTTAAATTAATCTTCTTTTCTGGAAGCAACTTGTTATATTTATAGTTTTAATCTTATATAAAAAAACCTTCTACAGATGAAGTCTGTACTTCATCTAATTCTTTCTTGCTTGCATAGAAATGATTAGATGAAAATGCTTGCATAATTTCTTCAAATGGTTTCACACAATTCTCAATGTTTTAGAAAAAAGCTCATCTAATCTTTTACCAGCATTAAAAAATATGCCACACTAGAAATTGTTTAGACCATTGATCTTGGTATAAAATACAAGGTTTTGTCAAAAGTCTTGATACTTATTTTTAAATTAGGTCAAGCATTAGTTGAGAGGGACATCAGTATAAACAGAAATATACTAAGTGAAACATGAAATAAATGTGAAATGACAATTAAAGATTTCATGATTTATGCGGTAGTGGTGTAGTGGTAGAGCGCTCGCTCCATAAACGAGTGGTTCCGAGTTCGATCCGCACCACGTCCCTGGTAGTACCGCGCTCAACTCGTTTCTCTGCGCAGCGGCCTTGTTCATCAAGGTTCGTGTTTTGGAGTTATAGAGTTGAGAGAGGGTTATAGCCACAAAATAAGTAGCCTCCTCGTCTGTAGTGGCCTTCTCGGCCTTGAGGAGGTGAAGTAAAATAAAAAAAAAACAAATAAAAAGACTCATCAAGTAGAAATCAACAATATAATGATAAAAATTTGCTAATTTCAACTGTTTTTTTAAATAGTATGTGATTGTACAAAGTGTAAGATTATTTTCTATATAAAACAGAAATAAAATATTGTTTGTATATGGAAAATGGGCTATCTATTTTTTTTCTGTGGTAAAAATAGTGTGTCAAAGTTTTAATGCTATGTTTTTGAATAAAAATGATGCAAATATCGAAAAAAAATAAGCAAAATTTTATTGAAAAATTAGGGAATTATATTCCAGAAGTATATTGGCAACTCTGAATAAAGATTTTACATATGTTTTGGCACTTTTTTTATTTATATATATCTTTGACAACTTTTGTGTTTTTAGGTAGCCACAAAATTTTTTCTTCTTAAATAAGTATTTGATTAATTTATTAAAATTTATATACAATAGAAACTGATATGCAAAAAAAAATGTAAAAACTTTTTGGAATTGCAATGTAAAAGCAAATACTTTTTGTAAAAAATAAACTTTAAATAATTGAATTAAATTAAAAGTACTTTTTTATTTATGTGATTGTTTTAAAATACTTTTATATTTTATAATAATAATTTATATTTTAGACATTTACACAAATCAGCAATAAGAATTCAATGTGTTTACAGAGGATATATTGGTAGAAAAGTTTTTACAAAATATGTACTGGTATGCTGTATATTTTTTTCATGCTTCCAGTTCGCTAGATATTTTTATAAAAAAAAATCAAACATGAATATGATAAATTTATTGAATAGTAAACTTAGATACAATAATGAGTTAAGTTAGGAATCTACAAGGCTACTCATATTTTTTAATGGGCGTTTTATTTATCTATTTTAATTATCAATAAGTGAAAAGGGACATTAATTAACTCTCAAGTTTATCTATCTATAACTGTTGTTTCTGTGTATAGATTTTATCAAGGTTGTGGTTCTAAAAAAAGGTTGTTTACAACATATTTAAATATCAATTCCTGTTTTGTTATTTTTGTTGATGTATGGTTAAATTTCTAATAGAAATTAAACACACAGAAAAAAAAAAAATTTGTTAGAGAGTTTAACTTTTGTTAAGGGTTGCAAACTTACTGGATTTTTCTATTACTAATAACATGGTAAATAAAAAGTTTATTATTTTACCAGTAAATTACTTATAATCTTACATGTTTTCTAATGTCATTGTCGTTCTGAAATTATCAATTTTAAAAATAAAACATTTCAAAATGGTAAAACTCAAGACATTTTATTTCTGTTGAAATAAAATGTCTTGACACAGAAAAAGACACAGAAAAAAGTAAAAATTTACTAGTCTCAGCAATAGCAGTGGTTCCAACAAAGAAACGAAAAAATAAAAGATGACCGAAAGATCAATTGCCACAAAGATCATTTGTCGATGTACAGAAGATGATGATTCTGACTCTTATATTAAGTATGTTGCTTCTACCAACGATTACGACAGGTATATATATTGGCAAAGTTTTTGATTGTACAAGAGTACAACCAATAGGGATTTATCAACTTCCAGCAATCACTTCTTGTACACACAATATGCACTCATTAAATGAATGCGTAAGAACATTCACTGCTGATGTATGCGCCTACTGACCTCAAACCACAATTATACCATTATATCACTGCTACGATGAAAAAGTCACCCTCAAGTGTCGTTCTAATTTCCTTAACCAAAAGACTAAGAATATGGAGTTCACAAAAATAACGGTACCAGCTGGATAATGTTCTTTGGCTATAAACACAAAAATATCATGGTACAGAGCATTACAAGTAATTAGCCCCAGTACATGGAAAACCGTTGTGTCTGACAATTTTTATTGTGCATGAAGGCGCATAGAAACAACAGAATATACCCATTTTCTATGATTAAATATGATGGTCAAATTACAGGACGAGTTGTAGCGCTGGAACAGTAAATCACAAAAAGTATGTGCTGCTATTTTATGCGCAGATGTGTTCCTAGTGAATGGTCACAATTATTTATAGTTTGGAGTTCAAGTAAACACGATGAAGAGGTTGTGAAAAAATTAGGCAGCTACACGTTTGAACGTATAGGAGATTTTGTTTTGATTAGAAGTCTAAGGATTGTCAGTGCAGTACAACTATTGGATCAAAAAGGCAACATACTCACTCTAGACAATGATATGCTTTTAAAAGACTCCACATTTCCAGAAGATATTTTTGTACAAACTGAAGTTTCTTGCATCCACCGATGAATGATTACACAATTTCCTACATCATCAGTTGAATGGGTACATCAATCTTCAGGTGTAACTGTAGAACCAGCTAGAAATGCATTGTTGTTATCAAAATGTCTAAACTACACTACTTATGCAATAAAACATGACTGAAAGATTGGTGATTTTTGTTTTGAGCATTTTCCTATCACCTTACCAAATTCAAACTTTACTTATTTCCTAGAAGTTAGCGATAGAAAGTTGATACCAACTAGTCCCCAAATACCCTGTAAACTCAGACCCAAACACATCTGCAGGACCCGAAGCTGAATACAATATACAAAATAATGGCTTTTAGACAAGTCAAAATTGTGGAAATCCGGCTTGATCAGGTTCTAACCTCACCAAATAAACCGATTCGCCACATTCGAGGTTATAGCAAAGATTTCCTAGTTGAGAAACCCCAAAGACTCTTGCCAAATATGTTCTTACAACTAATATCTAGTTCTCATGAAACAATACAGACACTTAACTCCATTAATGACACTAATGGAGGTGATATCCTAACTGGTATTGGTACTGCTCTTGGAAGCACTCTACAAGTAAAGGCGAGTGGAGGGTGTCAAATAATAAAAGCAATTGGAGGAGCCATTAAAGACTCATTAAGTGGTGTCTCAGACCTAGATAAAAAGTTAGTATGGTCAATTGGTGACACTTCCTTATCAGTATTAACAGCCGCAGGAGGAGCCGTAAAAGATGTTGGAGAAGGGGCAGGCTCCTTTTTCCAAAAATTAATGGGTGGTATAAGTGGATCCATCCTGTGGGCAGCAGTTCAATTGATAGTAGTTTATCTAATTTTAAACAAACTAAATATAAATTATGCCCTACCATGTTTGAAACGATTTAGGAAAACAATGGTTGACGATACCATAGCAAAACCACAATAGGACCAGTCCACGTCAATGTCTCCTAAAGTAAAAAGATACTTCTCACATAACTGTAAATGCCCAACACGTAAAGAAGATTAAAAATAAAAACGACGGTAATGGCAGGATTCTATGGCCAAGATTCTTGGATGGGAAAAAAGACGCCCCAACCACCACTAGTTTCCTACTGTGAAGTTGTTTCCTGTAGTATATTATTTAATGCTGTTTTGCACTTTTGATTTGTTGCTGGTGTCACGCTGTTAGCAACGATAATTTTTTTGATTTTTAACAATGGTGTTTCTGGATTAGGAATTTTAATGATGCTGTTTAGCAATGATTTTTATGACAACTATGATGAACTTTTATAGTGCTGTTTGGAGCAATAAATTTTTAGGCTTGGTCAAGTGGGAGCGATCGCTCTCGAATACTGACCACAGAAATTATATTTAGTTGCAAAAAACTGGCCAGGTTTTTTAGTCGTTTTGAGAACATTTAAGTTTATGTTTTACAGACATACATGGAAACATAAGAATAAATAGAATATTCGCGAACTCTAAAAACCCGCCAAATTAACAAACAAATTCTATTAGTTAAAAAAATACACTGACTAAGCGAAATAAAGTTCTAGAGTATTCTGCTGAAATGTTTTAGAAATTGTATCATTCACGATATGTGGCGTTTTGAGATTTCTAGCATAGATTGTTTTAAGAAAATATATTGTCAATTCTATGGCTCATTCTTGGAGCCACATCTACAAAGCGATAAATCTTATAAATTATTGTTATTTGTTTACAAAAATAAATGTTTTAAATATATACAGGGTGGCCCATAAGTCACTTTACATTTTAAAAATTAAATAACTTTTTATTAAACGACTGTATTTAATTAATTCTTTTTTTATTACAAAGTTTAGAATCTGTAAGTTAGTTCTGACTTAGTTACGAAAGATAATGTCTCTTAAATAGCCTCCATTCTCGTCTTCACAATGTCGAGCTCTTTTTAAGCTATTCTCCACAACACTTCTTAACATCTGAGGTTGTAGGAAAAGAAATTCCTGTCGTATGTTTGCCTTAAGATCTTGAATAGTTTGGGGCTTATTATTATTACACTTTGTCTTTAAGATATCCCCAAAGCCAAAAGTCTGGTGCTGTCAAATCAGGAGAACGTGGAGGCCATTCAAAATCGAATTTAAGAGAGATTATCTGATCCTGAAACATTGCAGTTAACAACTGCATTGTGGCTCTAGCGGTATGTGCAGTTGCTCCATCTTGTTGCCACTAATACCCTGCCATATTTGCTAACTGAGGTTGAACAAAATTCGCTAGCATGTCTTGATATTTCTCAGCAGTTACAGTCACAGCATTTTCATTTACATCTTCAAAGAAGAAGGGCACAATAACCTTTTCTGATGTTACTCCACACCATGTTGTGACTTTAACTGAGTGTAATGGACTCGCATGACCTTGGTGTGGATTTTCGGTGCCCCAAAATCTCATATTCTGCTTATTCACATGTCCGTTCAAATGTAAATGAGCTTCATCTCCCATGATCAACTTGTGAATAAACTCATTGTCATTTCTTGCAGTTCTCTGAAACCTGACAGCATAATTTAGTCGTTTCTGAAAATCTGGTGGTTGTAAAGATTGTACTAATTGAATCTTGTAAGGGTACATGTGCAAGTCTCTTTGAATGCGCTGCAGAGAACTCCGTGAAATGCCAAGTTCTTGAGAACGCCTTTGAGTGGATGTGGTTGGGTTCTCTTCAATGCTACGGCTCACAGCTTCAGTATTTTCACATGTACGTACTGAACGACCTCGTCCACTTTTAGTCCTATCACTTACAGAGCCATGCTCTTAAAAACGCGTCACTAAGTTCATTATTGCAGGCCTACTAGGGAGATGTCGAACATTAAAATGGCGCATATACGATCTTTGCGTTGCAACAATTGACCGTTCATTTTCAAAGTAAAATTCACTTATCTTCACTCGTTGTTCTATTGTAAACGTATCCATACTAAAAATTTCCAAAGATTATATTTTTTAATTCTAAAAAGAGAAATAGAAATAAATTAATAGAAAAAAAGTTATTTAATTTTTAAAATGTAAAGTGACTTATGGGCCACCCTGTATTATTTAAATTGTCAAAACTTTGGAAGTTAAAGTATAGATTTTATTAGTACATACTTATTTTTTATCTAAAGAGTATGTATTTTTTATGTGAATGTAATTTTGTGTATCTTTTTTTTCACTGTTCCTAAGTGCTCCAAAAATTTCTCTAATTAGTGGTTGCTTGTAGCCTTGTTGGAAGCAAAGATGTTTAAAAAAACAAAAAAACAAACAAAATAAAACTCATATATTACATTATTGATAAATTTTTAACAAATTATATTTTTATTTAGAATAGAGCAAAGCAGCTAAGACAATCTTTTTACAATAAAATGGCAATGATAGTAAGACTTGTTTTACATTTTTAAATGTTGAATTTACATTTATCATTTATTTCACTTTTTTTAAAGAAATACATAACATTTAATTCACACATTTCTTTATCGGAACATACAGTATTTATCAATTTTTATTATCAAAAATAATATTTAGACTTTTTTTAAGTAGTCTTATTCAATATATAGTATTTAATTTTCAATTCTTTAATGTGTAACTTTTCGGAGAGTAGTGAAAGTTTATTATTTTTAGGGGTAACTCAAGATCCTTAAATATCAGACAATTAACTAATATTCCTGACAAAAAAATTTGATATCATTACATCTGGATTTGATGTGTTTAGCGTCAATGACACATTACATGTATCATTGATGTGTTTAGCCCACATCAATGACATATTACATGTGTCATTGATATGGGTTACATGTGTCATTAAATGATAGCAACACTGGATATATGAGATGTTAATTTTGGCTACATTAGATGTGTGTGGGTATGGTATTAATACCACTAAAGTGGTAGCCACAAATGATCTATGTGTAACTATACTTATACCATTTAAGTATTATAAATACCATAACCAGAAATAGCCCACATTTTTGCCATCCCATAAATCAAGTGTGGTTATCACATGTGACATGCATCAAACTTTTTTGTCAAGTTATCAAGAAAATTTACTTTAACCCTTTCACTTCCAAAAAAAAAAACACAGTAAAATGATTGTTAGTAAAATATCATCAATATTTATCTTTTAAAAATCAACTTTTATTGGCCTTGGTTATGTAATCAAATGGTGTTTTTTGCGTTGTCACATTTACTAACAAATAATATGATCTGCATAGCAGGTCACAGGAACTTAAAGTGTTAAAAGTATGTCAACTTGGCTCTTTTAAATTTTTATAAAAAGCAAATTTTTATAAAAATTTCTCAAAATGATAGCCATATTTTATGAAAACATTTTCTAAAATAAGTTATTAAAGTGGTTTTATTATAATTTTATAAATTTAAAAAACTTGTAGATTTTAGTCAACAAAATCTAAAATAATATTATTTATAAAAAATTGTTTAAATTTAAAAAATTTTTATAATTTTTTTGTTGATAATATTAGAAACCTGTCTGATGTTTAAGGGCTATAAATAAAAATGATTTTTATAAAAAAATATTTGAAATTTGGTATTATTTTATTATGTAAAACTTATCAAGGGGGTAGTAGCAAATGTTTCTCTAAAATGTTGTTTTAAGCGTCAACTTATTAGATATATGTTATAAAATATATATATATATATATATATATATATATATATATATATATATATATATATATATATATATATATATATATATATATATATATATATATATATATATATAGTGTGTGTGTTTAAATTTATTATTATATATTTTAGATTCAATCCCGATGGAGAGGTATGTATTTTTTGTAATCCCAATGGAGAGGTATTTTTTTTTGTAATCCCGATGAAGAGGTTTTTTTGTAATCCCGATGAAGAGGTTTTTTTTGTAATCCAGATGGAGAGGTTTTTTTTGTAATCCCGATGAAGAGGTATTTTTTGTAATCCCGATGGAGAGGTTTTTTTTGTAATCCCGATGAAGAGGTATTTTTTGTATTTTTCAATAGTCATAATACTACAATTCAAAAGAAACTAATAGTTAAAAATGGATTGAAAAATTGAAAATAAAAAAAATATAAATACTTATACTAATTTTACCAGTTCTATATTTATAATTTTTTTTTGATAAAAACACCTTGTTATTATATTTTGAACTTAGAATTCCATTTTTATTAACATTGTTTAATTTTCTTGCAAGAAAATTTTATCATATGAGTTGTTACACATTCCACTTGCTGCTTAACTCAATATTATGTTCTTCGCATATTTCAAATTATTTTATTATTGTAAATACGTTTTTAGCATTTTAATACGTTTAATATTGTTTCTAAATTTTTGTAAGTAACTAATAGTTAAGTTATAACAATAGATAAAAGAGTATTGAAATAGCAGTAATAGAACAAGAGATGGATTAACAAAAGATTTGATGAATAAGTAAAAAAAAGTGTTTCATAACATAGTAGGAGTAATTTTGAATAAAACATGATAAATTTTTAATCAGTGACTATTTAAGTTTAGGACCTAAAATATATTTACAAGGCAATTGTCTGAAAAAGAAAAAATATCATCATTAAAAAAAATCCAGCTCATCATTTAGAAGCTACCATTTACTGCATTATGATTAGTTCATAAGAAATTTAGAATATTTCTTATAATAAAGCATTATTTATTACTTTTACTTACCTCTCAAAATTGTTTTATTTTTGAAAAAATAATTATGTAGGAAAAAAGCTTTTATTGTAAAATGTTTTAGGCTATTTTGTTAGAAAATATAAACTGAACTTTTTTGCTTGGAAAAACTACTTTATGACATTGAAAGCAAGAAGTGAAGTTTTCAGGTAAAATTAACTCAAAATTCACAGAGTAGTAAAAATTTACTTAACCCTATTCCATATAACACTTTATTTGAGAAAAATAGATTTTGTGTTAAAATGTTGAAAGATTTATTTGCTTGTGATTGTAAAACAAAACTTTTTTTTCTAGAGAAAATTTACAAGAATTTTCACGGTATATTGCTTTAGAAAATGAATGGGAAAAACAAAGAAAATATATGGTACAACTTTATAATTTAGTTTGCAATTATATTAAATACAACTGATACATGAGTTTCCAAAGAAGTAATTTCAAAATATCTTGTATTATGTATGTAAGTTTTTTTTCCAAGTAAATATTTAGGAAAAAGAGAAGCTGTTAAATCGAAAGATGCATTATTTGATAAGCACAAAGGTTTCTAGAGGTGTCTATAACTCCCCAAAAACATGTCTTGGAGGTAAAGAGATTTTGCTTCGTAACTCAAAACCATTAAGTAAGTTAGAGCGTGAGAAAATTCAAGAAAAGAAAAAAGAAATGTTTTTGCGCACTGTTACTGGTATACCAAAGTATATGGAGCAAGTCAGTTTTGAGAATTGTTCATTAAAAAGACCTGTAGAAAAATCAATTTGGCCGCAAGTTAGTAGTTCTCTTTTTAACATCTTGTGCATAGTCATACAGATGTAATCATCTATATTAGTTATTTGTGTACGAAACCTATAGTTTTTCATAATTTTTTTGTTTTAAAGAGGTTTTTTCAATTATGTCATTATTTTTTTGGTTTTTACTGTGATAAAAAAGTTGTAATCATTAAACTGAAATGATTTGCATTGTATATAAAAAATGCTTAGGGTCCTTTTCGTAGCCCTGGAGAAGTGCGTCAGCAGCGCTTAAAAAAGCTTCAACCAACTCTAAGGGTTGCAACAGAATATAAATCTGATGAAGGTTCCAAGTAAGTAGTTTATGATCATTATTTTTATTATTACCTTTGAAGTTACAATACCCTGATAGTGAATTTTATTAACAATACTTTGAAACTGAACTTTATTTATAAACAAATTTGAAAGTAACAGTTTTTTCTTTTTTTTTTTAGTTTTTAGAAATGAGATAAATATCAAAAGAAAAAAAAAAGAAAATATAAGAAATTGATTCTAATTTTTTTTTCTGTTTTAAATTTTTTACAATTTTATGAACCTTTAACATAAATAATACAACTCCTAATAATTTAGGCATTTTTTATTTTTAATTTGATATTTTTTCATACTTTTACTGCTTTTACTTTGAACTATTACATCATATTACAACATGTAGTAATGTATTGTTACAAAATATATAACTGTATTATTACTATAATTATTATAATTATTGTTGTTTTTATTACAGTATGTACTGTTGTATATATTACTGGCTATAACCTTAACTGTATATATTACTTTATGTAATAATATTTACTTTTTTTTTTTTTTCAATATCTTCGCTTCCAACAAGGCTGCAAGCAACCTCTATTAGAGTAGGAAGTTACTTGAGATTAAGTATTTGTTAATTAAAGATTCAAAAACCTTGCTTGTGATAGGAAGAAGACTAATGGGGCAGTACTTAGACAAGTCAGATCTCTCTCCAGAAATTTTGAAAATACAGATAAAAGATGCTGCTTTCCACCAAGCTGGAAAACAAGACTCTGATAAGCACTTGTTAAATAGTTTTGAAAGTATACACAACAGCTCCGGAGAACACTTCTGTAAGATTATAACAGGTATGTTGTCTAGACTGCAAGCTGTGGAAGAGTCTAAACGGGAAATCACTTTTGATACAGAAGACAAATGTCAAGCAATCAATCAACCTGTTAGGCGGCTATATTAGTTAGAATGCAACTAGTAGAATCAAGAGATTATGTTGATGAAAATATCTTAGCAAATAGTTTAGCTTTGTCTTTAGGTGAGGTGATAAAGTCTGAACCATGCAAAAGAGGTGGAATAACAGATTTACCTATATTATTGATACTGTTAAAGATTCTCCAGAAGTCATGAGAGCCTAATTTTTGTGATGAAATACAAGATTTCATAACCTGGCTTTGTTGTTAGGCAAAACCTTTTTACAATGGTTTCTAGCAATAGTAAATAGAATGCTGTTTTCTGAAGAAAAGTAACCGTTTCAAAGAAAACCATGGAGAAGAGTGAGGCTTGACTTGGAATTGTTGAGAGGGAATAAAAGATTCCATTCCAGCCTGAATCCATGAAGTTATGTAAGAAGCACATTTGTCAGCAGGATGACAAAATCACTGAAAGAATCCTAGATGAAAAAAATCACTGAAAGAATCCTAGTCAGCTTTAAGGTAGTTTTAAGAGGTACAATGATGGGGGGATTCTAATAGTGAAGAAGAATGAGATAATAGTTTTAGAGAGATCAAGCTGTGATCAGAAGCATCTAGCGGTGAGTGTGGAGAAACTGAGTACTGACTAGGATCAGAAACGAGACATAAGTCAAGTAGAGAAGGTAAATGATTTGGGTTATCTGGAAAGCGAGTTGGAAAGTTGACTATTTGAGTTAGTGATTGAGAAAAAGCCTTAACACCTGCAGAGTCACTGACACTAGAGCCAAGCCATTTAGTGTGATGAGCATTAAAGGCACCAACAACAACAATATTGGCGAATAGATAAAGAGAGAGGGCTTGATCAATTTGATCAGAAATAATGTCAAAAAGAGTGCAGTCTTCAGAAGGAGAGCAACATAGAACAAAGAGAAAGGCATTAGAGTGAGGTGGTGCTAAACAAAAGCACATAAAATAATAGTTTTTAAACTCAAATCTAGTTTCTCGACAAATGGGTGAATTCTTACGAATGTAAATGCCCTGGAGTCCTACTAAGATCACAAGATGAGCCAGCCAAACTCAAATTAGTCTCACAAAGAACATACAGGTCTGGTGAACTTTGCAAGAGATAAGAGTCAACAGAAGAAAAGTTACTTCAAAGACCATGAATATTAGTGAATGGTAGGTTTAGAGAACTTGGTGATGGCGATGTTTTTTTGTGTTTTATAGTTTTTGATGCTTTAGTCATTTTTAAATTTGTTTGAGAACTTTACTCAAAGCATAGATAGTAATCAGTGCACTATTTAATAGTCCAAGCAATTGGCTCATTACTATTAATAAATCCTAAGCCATAACAAAGGGCTCCAAATGTGGCCTTAACAATTCATACCAAAAGTACGAACAGGGACACTATCTATGCGCAACATGGCACTGTTAATACTATGATATTTTTCAGCTGTTGATGGAATCAATCTATTTAAGAGCTACTTTCTGTTATAAATTTTATACAATTTTATGAACTTTTAACATAAATGATATTTAAAAAAAGTAATTTTTTTATCATTAAAGTTATTTGCTAATATTGATAAAAATTGTCAGAACCAACATAAAATTCTAAAATGAGTAACAGCGACAGTAAAATGTTGCAATTTAGTTACAATTATAGACAATCTTTTATAAAAGTTAGAATTTAAAACAAAATATATAATACTTTGAATAATAATCATGATGACAATTTAAAAAGCTATACAAAATAACGTAAAGAATTTGAAAGTTACAACAAACAATATATTTACATAACTGTTTATGAGTTTGAGGTAATGCCCTTAAAACCCTAAAACTATAATTATTCAGAGAAATTTACTCATTAGATAGCCATGTTATTTAGTTGTAAAGAAGAAATATGCAGAAATTGGTTGTAAAGTAGCAATATGCAGAAATCTTAATTTTTGAATGAAGAAAAATGAATCAGAATAATAAAATGTGGAAAAAAAAATAATAAAAGTTTAGGATAAACAAAAAAAAGTAAAATGTAAAAAAACGTTAAAGGAAATTCTATAATAAAGAAGAGACAACCAGAAAATGCTGGAAAATGGCTATGTGGAGTATGTTGGATAAGAATTAATGCAAACTCTAGTGTTTGTTCAGTTTGTAAGAACATATGTTTACAAGATATGTAGTGGTACTCTTGCGTGCTTAATACAAGGGAGGGAGGAGGTGGAAAGTAAAATTAATTTTAATCAAATGTGAGTTTGTTGAGAGCTTTGACTTAAATTATCAATAAATCATTTTGTAGGCATTTGTAAGATATCTATACAACATCTTATAGTTGTCACAAGTCAGTATAATGTTCTTATGGTGTCCAACGAATGTTCTGAACCTGCTGGAAATGAAACCTTGCAGAAAAAAACATGTATAAACTAATAGAAAATTAAATTTCTTTATTAATGCTTGTTTTCAGTAATATATCTACTGTTAATATATTTTTAAATAACCAAACCATTGCAATAATATTAAATGTTTTTTTTTTTAATAATTGTTAACTAAAGTTTATTTAATTTCATAAACAAACTTAATAGTTATGATAAAAGGCACATAAAAGCATCGATAAAGTATATTTATCACAAGTGCAAAGTTTTGAAAAAACTGTTTCTAGGTTGATAAGTTTTTTTTATCTCAAATAAAAAAAACTTGTTAATAAAAATAACATAAAAAAAAACTTATCAGAACTTAGGTTGATAAGTTTTTTTTATCTCAGATAAAAAAGAACTTATCAATTTACCAGTGTTAATAAGTTTTTTTTATCTCAGATAAAAAAAAAAAATCAGATGATAAGTCAACTTATCATGAGATTTTTTTTTGTCAGATAACAAAATTAAGACAATAAAGTTACTGTTTAAACCAGCAATACTGATGTATATGTTTATACATGTTTATCAGTATTTAAAATGCACCAGTAATCTGTAATCTAAAAAATAACATATTAACAACTGGTAATTATTATATTTATACAATAATTTAGCATAAATATTATACTTTATTATTTTTACTAAATAATTTTTGATGTCTATGTTTTACTTTTAATTTTATTTTCAAAAATATATTTTAATTTCTTTAATTATTTTCTAGTTAATTTATTAACCAATTAGTTTTCTCAATAAACCCATAAAGGGTTGATAAAGAAAGCTAATTACCAGTAGCTTGTGTTTAAATGTAAAAGCTACTGCGGTTAAAACATATTTAATGGTAGCAAGCCAAAAACCAGGGCTAATATGTAGCAATATTACCAGGTATAAAATTTTTTTTGCAATTCTATGATCTATGCATTTTGGTTTGTTTCTGTAAAATTTAAAAGTTGTGGAGCTAAACAACTATATTTTAAAAATTTTACCAATTTTTTAGATAATTTTAAAGTAGTAAAGAAAAATAAACTAAAGAATACTTAACTTTTAAATTATTTTTATGTGCATATTTTAGAATACTGTGGCGAAAAGATAACTCAACTCTATGTATTGTGGATAAAAAGTGAGTTTTTTATTAATGAACAAAAAATTTATTTGGCTTATCAAACTAAAAATAAGACTACAGTGCAAAAAAATATTTACACTGCAAAAGTTTTTTGTCTCTTGCTAGTATCCTGTATAATAACATATTTAAATTGACATATTTTGTTTTTCCTATTTCTTGTCCTAAATTTTGACTAAAATGTTAAAGTAAATAAAGTTATGAAATTGTCAATGTCTATATTACTTATGCTCATATCTTATAAATCAATGTCATTTTATAAAGTAAATTGTTTTTTTGTTTTTTTATAATAGGTATGATTTCTGTATCATCAGCATACACACTAGTGATGCAAAATTATATGCATTTAATTTTGTTAATCAACTAATTTAGTATGGGGTTTATTTAATAAAAAGATAATCATAAAATCTACTGGTGAAAGTTACTATAAACATGCTTAAAACATATAATTACTATCTAGAATATTTTATCCATAATTTCAGTATTATGTATTATTTAAAGCACTCTAACAGTAGTTAACACTGCAGTCACATGATCCAATTCTCTACTTGCTGTTTGGTAAACAGCATACTTCCTTTTGCCTTTGTATTTATTAAAAGATATGTTTCCATTATTAACTTTATTTAAATAAATGAAATAATGGAGCATAACTTATTTTAACATAATCTAGTTTATTAATTTTATTTATAATTGAATCTAACATAATCTAATTGAAAATCTGAAATCTTTCATTTTTTTGATGTTATTTATGCAGGTTTTTTACAACCATTAAACCGAAGTACTCCTATGCTCCTTCATTAATTGCTTCGACACATTATGGAAGGTATGTTTAATGGTTAAAGTTTTTATGACATTAGATTTTATTAGTTTTGATTTAATAATATATTTGTAACTGCTATGCAATAATTTTGTTTAATTATTTAGCTTAAATTATGGAACAAAGCATTTTCGTAGTTACTCCTCAGAACCATATTTATATGAGAAGGTATTAAATTATGCAAACTTAACATAAACTATTTAATAAAAAATAATTTTTGTATTCATGCTTTGTTCATAATGGCTGATAATTCAAAAAAAAAAAAAAAAATTGAGTAGAAAACTGCTAAATTTTGTTGTTGTTATAGCAACTATTATTGTTAAGTATTAACAAAATTTATAAACTTTTGAAAAAATATTTGAAATAAAGTTTTGCACTATATATTGTGTATAATTTTATTCCAAATATTTTTCAAAAGTTAAGCAATACTGTTTTTTTATATTTATATATATATATATATATATATATATATATATATATATATATATATATATATATATATATATATATATATATATATATATATATATATATATATATATATATATATATATATATGTATATATATATATATATATATATATATATATATATATATATATATATATATATATATATATATATATATATATATATATATATATTATATATAAGTTATATTTTCTGATGAATCTTGTAAAGTGGCAGTGCATATGCTGGGTGTATTGCAAAAAAACTTGGGAATGTTGCAAAACATTTTCATTTGTAATACTAGAATAGATTTACAAGATACACATTATTTGAATAGATCTGGCCTGAAATAGATTTGTAATGAGCTGGCATGACAATACCATCATCTTATTTTGTCAAATATGTTTGTGATGGTTTTGTAATAATTTTTAGCACATACTTTTAATTTGTACAAAGGTAATTTATTATTATATATCACTTTACTTGTAACATGTTTTAGTTTGTTTCCTAGAAAAAAATTGCTTCAAACCAACTACAATGTATAAATTATAGCAAGTTTGACCTGCTTCACTGGTTTTTGATATGGTTTAAGTTGCGATTTGCCATGTGATTACAACTGTTTTTTTTTCTTTTAATTTTTATTTACTTTCTAATGATGATATAGAAATTCAATTAAAATTAAAATCACCTTCAAATCCAACATTAGGAATTAGTTTATAGAAATATTTATATTAAATTTTTTTTTTTGTTTAATTTCTCATAAATTATGTTTTTGTATTGATTACTCTTTAGTGCCTAATACAAGGAGGGAGGGCTATATGGAAATAAAAAGAGGGGGGGGGGGCAGTAGGAATAAAAGATGTTGGTAGTAATATTAATAGTCCAAATCTAATAAACAGATAGGTGGGAAAATTTTCGAAAATTAACAAACCTCTCTTCATGTGTATTAAGCATATAAAAGTAGTACAAAAAAGATATATTATTTATGAAATATTCTTTATGAAATCATCAAAATAATATGATGTCATGAAAGTAGGTACTAAAATAATTCTTTTTGAAGAAAAAGATTTTTGATTTTGATTTTAATAAAATCTAACTCCAATCCAGTTGTGAATATAGTACCAATGAAAATTTTTTACCACATACTTTAGAAAACTCTCAGTCAATTGGCCAGGAAAGTTGAGATAAAAAGCTGTATAGTTTGAAATCTAAATACCTAATACATACTTCAGTTGTATTAGATTTTTTAAAGCTGTGCGCTCTGTGTCAGTCTTAAAAAAAATTAACTTCAATCAACGTTGCCAAGTTGATTTAGTTGACCTACATTCAATCCAAGATTACAAACGACTCTTTCAATATCAGGACCTCAGAACAAGTTTTGGCTTTCTGTGGTCATTGAATTCAAAAAGAGCTGCAGAAGTAGCAATCTAGTTGTTAAAATTATTTTTGGAAATAGATTGTTCTCAAAATCTGCAAATGGCTGTGAGTTTACCGTTGCAGTCATAAAAGAGTTAACAATTCTATAGCAAATTTTAAATGTTAAGTGCTCGACTAATTGACAATGACACAAAAAATTGATCTATAGGTTGCTACTTTGTTCAATTCCAAAAAAATTCTTTTTTTCATGAAGCCATTGAATAAAATAAAGCCATTGAATAAAATGAAAGCCATTAATTGAAATGAAGCCATTTTTCATGAAGCCATTGAATGATCATCTTACAAAGCTTTATTTGGAATAGAAGCAAAAACAGGACTTTATTAGGAAATTAAACTAAGTGATCATTTTACAAAGCTTTGTTTGGAATAGAACCAAAAACTCCAATCCATATTTAAAAAGAGTTGCTTAAAAAACTTTTTATTAAAGAGGGGTTGAATCTACTTCTTAATCAGCAACACCAGTAGACCTGCCAGTGACAGTGGCAGTAAAGTTGTTTATGGAATGGAATCTAATGGAGTCTATTCATATGTCGCAATGTGTGGGAATACAGTAGGAGAAGAAGGATATAGATTAAAAATTTTATGCTAATTTATACTACTTAGAAGAAAGCATTAAAGAGAAATTACTGCAAAACACCTGAAAATTTTAGCTGAAAATTGGAAGAGGTTTTTTTGAAGAAGTTTAACGAGGTGCTCGTGGATTCCACTGTTTTGGTTGATATACCAAAAGTAGATCCATTAGATGGAAATAACCTAATAAATATAAAATACCTAAAGAGGTTTATTAGTTTGAAGGGCTCGTGTTAGATATAAAAAATAATGATTTTTTTTCTGACAGTTTTTACAGTGTATATATACGCTGTAAAAACTGTCAGAAAAAAATAGTAGGGTTAGCGAAGGTGGTTCAACGCTTGCTTACATCTTTTTACTGTTAAACGTCTATAACGACAGATAGCTCTCAAAGCTCTTAGTGAAAAAAATTAACTCAGCCTTTGTAAAAAGAGCAAAGTTTATAGAACTACTATGCATTGGATTTCAGTAACAACCTAATATGAATCATCAATATTTCTAGTATCCTCCATCTTTGTTTTTAAAACTGATGAGCAGTTACTGCAGTTGATCTTAGTCATTAGGCTGATAAGTTTCTTCTTCATGGTATATCATGACATAGGAATTTTTTTTTTATATTTTCATTTTTAATCAATCTGAGCTTTCTTTACTTGGAGAAAATTTTTTTATTGGATTTGTTTGTTTTATGGAATGCTGCTTGTTTTGAAGTTGATATGAAATAAGATTTGTTTGAGTTGGATTTTGTAGCTTGTGTTGAAACTGTTTTTAATTTCTTTATTATATTTTTATTAAATGCTTCAGCAGTTTTTGATATTTTCTGAAGGAATCTAATAGTCAATATTATTAACAAAATTTATAATATTCTGTTGTAAGAACAAAGTTAAGAAAATTTCTTTCTTAACGGTGTGTAATAAAAAAAAATTTAATTTATTTTGAATCGGTATTAAATTTTTTGTTGTTTTTTTTTTTTGTTTAGTTTTTGATTTTTGTCAGAAAAGTTGAATTTTTTTTTTTAGAGGCAGTTTCACCCTTTTTCATCTGGTTTATTTTGGCGCTATTAATCTAGTTTAAATTTTAGCTTTTCGAGATTTGAATTTGAATTTTTTTTTTTTCTTTTAGCTTTTTCAGTGTGTCGTTTCTCCAATTCCGATTTTTGGTGATATAGTGGAAGATCAAAGTTAAGAGATAAATGTTCAAAATAATGTTTATAATTTTTAACGTGAAAAAAGAAATGTAAAAGTCTTCAGTAATTAAAATAGATAATATTATTAGGGATGACTCTTTTACTTATTTTGATGTAAAAACGCGAATGATGTAAAAACGCGAACGTAACTCATTAAAAGATATAATTTAAAAACAGGTAGAATTCCTTTAAAAACTACGCAAACTTTCAAAATGGAGTACATCCGTTAAAGGTCAACTATTTGAACTTTTTTTTTGTGATTTAAAAATATCTATTATAGGGTTTTTCTTCTCTAGAAGTCGTTATCCTTGTTTAGCCGTATTTAGCAAGAATTAGCAGAGTGAATTTTCTGGTTTTTTTAAAGATTCCCCTTAGAAACTACAAGGAACATAATTGTATTTATATGGATAAAATATTTCTTAAAGTTCTAAATTTTTTTCTTATTATACCAGAAATTATATAGTATGATATATAAGAAGGCTTGCTAACTAAGTCCAACAAAAATTCCATTTTAGCTCGTTAAGTCCCTTAAAAGCTACACAATTTCTCCCTTAAATACTTTATATTAGGTAAAATATGCCTCCACAAGCTCACTTAGAATAGTCAGGAATGGAGAGAATGTTTATACTGATCTTCTTTAACTAAGAAATGGTAAAATGGTTGTAACTGGTACCTTTCTGTTCATTTTGTCCTCATAATCTATAATTAAGTATGTATATTCTTTATTTTCAGTGTTTAAATAAAATAATAGAATGGGAAAACCGCAATTTAATTTTAAGATTTCTGCTAGTCGAAAAAGAAGTAGAACAAAGACAAAGCCAGAGACTCAAGCTAAAGCAACAGTTTACCGAAAGGAAATAAGTGCTAAAGAAAATCAAATATCAGAGGTAGTAGATTGGTGCACAGAAAATAAAAAACGAAGACAGGCATTTTTTATTAAAGATCGTGGTACAATAGACAGAAGATTAGATCGCAAAGTTAAGAATGTAAAAAAGGAACATTTGAAAGTGTTACATCCAAATGATAAGAAGGACATAGTTTGTTTTATCAGAAACAAAAACAGAGCCCACCAGGGACTTTTTAAGAAGGAAGTTTCTGAAATTATTTTGGGTGTGCTGAAAATCAGAGATCATTTGAACAAAAATGGAAAAGGTGGAAGAAAGTTTATGAAACTATCATAAAGTGCAAAAACAGCCCTACAAAATGTAAGTTAAGTTTTTTCTTTAAACTAATTTATCAACATCCCAACAGGTACAAGGGTACACAAGCAATTAAATAGATGTAAAAAACTGAACATTATCCAAACTATTTAGACTAGGGAAATCATTTTGGAGAAAATGGCACTCTGAACATGATGATATTGTCATTAAGAGGCAAGGTCAAGTTAAAATAAACAGAATCCTAAATTGTACTTGGGAGATGGTTACAGATTATCTAGGTACATATTTTTTATAACATTATTTTTTTAGTTTAGCCTGAATATAAAAAGATCTATTTTCAATTTCATTCTCAAGTGTTCTACAACTTGGTTTTTATTCTTGAATAAGGTTATATGTTTTGTACGTTGATAATTTATGCAACTTGATTTTATTATTAATTTTACAACTTTTTTTATCCCAGATGCCTTAGCTGATGAGCTGATTGCTTGTAGTACAATGAAGAACTATAAAAAAACAAAAAATAGTGTATGGGTCGGTGATATTTCAACAGAAAGAGTTTTTAATCATGATAAAACACCACAGTTTGTCAACTACGGTGTAGATGGTACTGCCACTGGGTTAGTTTATGATGGCAAAGGGGAGACATGTAAAAAAATGATTCGCAAAAACAGAGAGTGCATAGCTATAAACTCATTTTTTTCATTCTCAAGTGAGCCAACTAAACAACTTTTCACAACTAAAGTTGTGGTTTTTATAGTTTTATATTTTTAAAAAGTGAAATCTAATATTTATATTTTTAGGAGAGGTTTCAATGCGTCAGGTATTTGCTGGCAAAAGCATAACGAGCCAGATGGCAACAGAAAAAAGTTGTCAGTAACATTGAAAATTTAATCATCTCCACGACAGAGAGTGGTTCGCAAGATAACTGTTCATTATTGACTGTGTATAAGAAACTCTATAAACATCTCATCAAACAAGGTATTGAGCGACCAGTTGTGCTTCTACCAACGGTTTGACTTTAAAGTTCTTAATTTTTTGCGTGAAAAGCAAATCAATTTATTTGTGTCTCCGCCTGATATTACTGGAGTCATACAGCTATTAGACTAAGCACCAAATCAACAGCTCCATCAATATTAAAATACCACGCGAGATGAACTCTTTTTCTATTTCCAGACAATAAATCGATAAAGATTCATGAATATCCTAGGAACAATGTGGAGCAATCGGGCATCTGCTGCCAAGATGATTGTAAACTTAAAATTAATTATTAAGCAGTAGGAGGTCATAATGCATAAACTGAACCATCTTTAAAACTGAAAATTTGATTTGCATTCTCTTTTTGAGGGTTTTAAAATTGTAAAAGAGGTAAATTTTGTATTAATTTTTCATCTAGGATGTTTAGAGATTCTGGTTCAATCATTGTTTAACAATTTCATTGACATTAGTGGAACCCAGATCTAAAAAACTATACGTGTAGTGTTTAAGGGGATATGTGTTTTTAAGGGAATTCTATTTGTACATTTAAAAGTAATTCTTTTTTTTTTTTTTACATAAATTAACATGTAAAACTTAATTACTTAAGTTTAGTTTTTTAAATAAGTAACTGAGTATAAATTAGTTTAAAAAATAATTTATTTTTACAAGTAAAAGTAATTGGCATTTTTATTTTTACTTGCACATGTAACTTACTTTTAATGGTGGGTTATGTAGTAATTTTTTTTGAAAAGTAATTTTGGTTATAATTATGTAAAAAATTTAGATCAAAATGTAATTTATTTTTTATATGTGAAAAAAGTTAATTATAAAGTAAACTTACGTAAATATAATATTTAAAAAACATAACAGTTACTTATAAAACTAAATATAACATAACAGTTACTTATAAAATATAATCTATTTGAAAATGAAATATAATCTATTTGAAAAAAGATGGTAAAGAAGGCCGGTCAATCTTCTACTATAGGTTGTGGGCACTCTAGTAATCTTTTTTTTGTTGTTGTTATTAGGTTGACGTCCAGCCCGCACAAGATAGATTAGAATAATGAAATCTTATTCAATTAATATCATTTGAAAATTGAAAGAAATCTAGAAATGTGATATTTTTGAATAATCTAATGTTAATGGTTTCTATTTAATATTGTTCTTACTATTATTAAAATACTACTTAAATTATATATGAGCAAAAAATATATCAGTTTATCACTCATTTATGTTTCTTTTACCTCGACGTGAAGGAATTAACATTTCTAGCCTTGATCGCTTTTTCTCATAAATAATGAAAGCAATCTTCCGAAAATGCAGAGGATACAGGAGGCGCTACTAACTTAAGTACTAACTCTTTTAGCTGTAGAAACTTCTCTTCATGTTTCAAAAAATTAAAAAAGCCATTGTTTTTTTCTATTTTGAGTGATTAAAAAAAACATCAACTCCTTAAGCAGCTTTTAAAAAGGAGACTTGATCAGAATTCAATAGATTTTAAACTTTCTTGTGCAGTTAAAGAAGCAGCTAATTCTGAAGCAGAAGATGCAGTTAAAAATCCAATATTAATTTCGAATAATTTTTAAAGAGCCATTTCCAAAGCAAGAACAATAAAGCAGATCAGACAGTCTTTTAAAGCAAGTTGCTTTTAAATTTATTTTTCACACTTTTAAATAGCTGATGTAAATAACATCAAGATTAACTTTTTTTTTTTTTAAGTAGAGTTAAAAAAGTAAAAGTAACTAACTTAAAAAAAAAAGGATTTTCATAACCACAACAGCCGCTTAATTTAGTTTGTTTAATATAGCGAAAGTAGGGTGGTTTAAAAAAACACTTTTAAATTCAAAATTTTATTGTCGATTGTGAAGAAAAGTATTCTATATGATGAAATAACATCAATTTCATTTTTTTTTTCAGTAAATTTTTGTATTTTTTTTTTACTTCAAGTTTTCAAAAATTAAAAGTAAAAAAACAAAAATGCAAATCACAATATTTAAACAACCAGATCCCAATCACATATTTAAAATCAGGCCCGCGGCAAACTTTTTCTTTTTGTTTGAGAATTTAACTTCACGTAACGACACGGAGCAAACAAACATTTATATGTTCATACTTATGTAAATAAAAACTTTTCAAAAATATTGCGATAATTGGAGTCTTTTAACAATAAAACCCTAAAATGTTTACCTCCTTCTCATGTCTTTAGCGTGAAAACGACGAGTTTATAACATTTATATACACATTTTAAATTAAATTTAAGTTCATTAACAAGTCTCTAATGTCACGCAATAATCTCTTAAATGCGATAAGCTCAAAAATTTCAACCATATAATTTTTGAACAACTTTCCCAATAGTTTAGGGGATTTAAAATATTATTATTAACTAACCTATAAGATCGTCTGACAATCAAATTCGATTTCTCATTTAATAATTCGGAGCGAAAGTCAATTTAACCATTTTTGTGTGAAAAAGTAATCAAATGACGCGGACCACATCGTTAAAATGTGTCAAAGAATAACAAAGAAAATTTTTATAAATTTTTGAAACAATATTATCAATTTTTTTTTTTCAATTTGGTCATTGATTATTGTTTTTTTTTATTGCATAAAGACTATAGATGGGAATTGAACCCTTATTTTAAAGTTCGGGTCTGGTTCGGTTCGGTTACTTTTAATGTTCGAGTTCGATTCGGGTCGGTCTTAAGCGCAGTTCGGGTTCGGTAACAACAAATTTTCGGATTCGGTTCGGTTTGTATCAACAAAATTTCTTTTTTGATAAAACAATTATAAAATATAAAAAAAATAAGGTAATATTAAGTAGTAAAAGAATTGGAAGCTATTTGAAATAACTCGCAATGTTTTAACTACTGCAACTTCAAAACGCTGCAATTAAAGTGTGTAAGGCATAAAAAGCAGTAACTTTCTGAACACAAATAACGGTAGCTTAAGTAG